CTTTTCATTCTGATCATTTATGTATACATTTGTCTATATCTATCTCGATTCGTTTTGCCTGTTACAAACAACCGTTATGTGAACAAAGTTATAATACCCTTGTGCACAAGTGCGCTCGGGTATAAAAAATGTCTCTCTGCGTTCTTCAAACCCATAAATTTGAATATAAAAATCTCTAAAACCTAGAAAAACGGTTGACACCCTGAATTCTGTGTATTCGAACTAGGTTTTCCTGCCGGAAAAATCACATTTAAAAGGGTGTTTGATTGATCCCACAAAGGATTGGGCTCCATAGGTTTTGGTGAGTGATTTCGAAATGGCCTTACAGAATAATAGAGTTAAGGGGGTCGTAAGAGACGACCTCTTAATCAAACTACAGGTCCATCGTTTATTGCCCTTGGTAACACGGATCTAGTCATCCCAGCTTTAGGAAAATTGAGACGTACAGCCTCATGTAGGTCTTAGTTTGATGAGAAACTAGTGTGCCAATAGGGAACTTGCCATAAACCCATAAAAAAGCTGTTCGCGTACAGTTTAATATTCTGATGAGGTCAACCAACTTGAAAGTACCTTCGATAAGGGTCTTACATCGAAATAAGCCCCAATAAAGCCACTCGTGCCGTATGGGCCTGTAGATGAAGTTTTGGTTGGATTTGTGGTCTGAAGTCAAAGTAATATAGTGGATTTATCGGACAAACATCGTTCTGAGGGTTTCTTATGTATCTCCAGTTGGGTTAACAAAAAACTTCCTTACATGAAGGTTGTTTCTGGTCGAGATACTATTAGTTAGTCGCAATCTGCGCCAGCTTAAACCATGAAAACTGTTTGAAGGGCATTTATAGTTATCCTTTCAAATAGCTAAGCACACACTCAGGGCTTCTCCAAATGAATGATAACCTTCAAGCTTATCAATATGTATTTTTAATATGGTCCACCGCTTGGCATTGAAAAACACTTTCAACTCAGCTAGCACAGTGTGCCAAGGCACTGCGGAATTCAGGACAACAAAGTCGCTGATGAGCTGGCGGGATAAAAATCTTCAAGCATCGGTATGGGACCGCAACTATTTTGCGGTATCAGTTGTTCGTCTTCAAAATTCTTTATTTCTGGGTTGGTAAACGCAAAACGGAACGGATAAATCAGGAACTTAATTACCAGATCATAATGGATTTCATTGGGCAGTTTATCTGCAGGCCTTGCGGTCATAGCAGTATAATGCTAATATGAACGAACGTACTACGTGTTCCAGGATATGTACATATCTTGGTGACAATGTTATGGTCGAAGGAGGGCATGCGGATGACTGAATCGGTGCTGTTGTATGCAGATTAGTCCAAAGTTACACAACGGGTAGCACTAATAAATTGCCGTTTTAAAAGCAAAACCCGCAATTTAACCGAAAACAAACGACAATAAGAAAGCAGCAGAAGCTAAATATTTAGCTAAAAAACCAGCCCGCGGAGTTTAAAAACCTAAGAAGTTGCAGTTGGTTTGACTAGAAATCTAATTTTAGTCGAAACCATTACTGGACAATCACAGAGCAGATGCTCTACCATTTTCTCTGCATCTTGTATATTACAACTACGTTAAAAAGTGTTGTATGCCTGCACTCGTCTTGAAAATGGCTGTAAGTCTAGACAAATCTTACGTGTTCAACTTGATGGGAAGTGCAGTGTATTTTGCGCAGTTGGTAGGCCACACACCCCTAAGACTCTACACGACGCGTTTAGATTAGCTTGTCGGCTATTTCGGTGCAATGAATGCTGCTGTTCTCCGACAACGAGATCAGTAACGAAGACATGCTTATCAGCTGAAGTCTGAACGTACTCTGAACGCCTGAAAATAACCGGCCCACTTCGGTGGTAGAAAAATCTTTTCGATTTGAAGACCAGATGAAAAACCTACTGCCGTTATGCAAAAAACCATTCTTTAGCCGCCCGTAAAAATAGAATATGCTTCGAAAGGGGTCAGTAAAAATTAGCAAGAATAAGGAGGACCATATGCATCCTTAACTAGGTATTCTGTGTACATTTTCCAGTTTAATTTCGGTGAAATAATGACTCCCAAATACATAGGTTCAAATTAGAAATCTCTCTTTTTGGTGACTAATAATAGTTCGCGTGGGTTTTAGGTAGCGCCCGCTGCACTTTGAAGCATCTCGATTATCATATTTATGCACAATCTGGATACCATAATCACTGCATGATAACTTTGACCCTTTCCCTATCGAGTCTTAGAAGAATGCACGGCGACAGTACTTTGTCTCGATGAGTCCTCTTCTTTGGTTACTTGATAACTTCGCTGCTGTCTAGCTTAGCGCTTACAATCCTATGATGGAAATCCAGTTTACCAGGAAGTTCTCAAACCACAGATTGCTTGCTGAGTGACTGCCCTATCGTCTATAGGTTGACGTTGTTGAATGCTCATTCTATCCATATACAGGAAAACCGCCAACGTATATTGCTGATTTGCGTACATGTACGGAGATACAACTGTATTGGATTCCGAGATACACTGACTTCATTGGCATTGACCCACGAATAGAATGTGCCGACAACTGGTATACGATTCAGCAAGCGAGTATGTTTTCTAGGGATGTTCAAATAAGATCGGTATTTCCAAAAACCAGTTTTTTTTTTTAAATTTGGTTAATGATCTTTTTCAGTCTTTTCTAATTTATTTATTTTTTCGCTTTTAAACCGAAAACCTAAAATTCGCTTTAACAGAATGGATAATTATTTTGCAATTCTTAGAGATAAGAATAAAATTTTACGGCGTACCACAAACTTCAAATTAACTAAATTTTTGTTTGCTGATCTAGTAGCTAAACATAATCGATTGTGAAGTCCATTGTGAATATTGAAATTTCATACAAAGTTTGAAATATATTTACTTTGCATATGTCGTTTGCTAAAACATAACCAATATTTTAATAAAAAATTAACAAAAAATATTTACCATGAAAAACATTGGAAATATTTAAAAAACATTCACCATACAATTAATTTTGAAGTTAATAATATATAACCATATACATATGTATGTAATTATATACATATCGCTCATTTACTTCAATAGTGTCATAATCAAAAAAATGCAAACTTTGATTTGAGTATGCAGAAAATACCGCTACCTTTACTTGCATGTTTTATGAATACAAAACCGTGATTAATCCAACAACCGATTTTTTGAAACCGTTTTTTTCTGTAGATGGTTTTCTCAGAGGTTATAATTTTTATTTTTTTTACCTGAATTGAGGCGCTTTGAAATAAAACTTCTAGGGATTTCGAATTTGGTATTTTTTTTGGTTTAGGAAATTTTTCTGTTAACTTCTAATTATTTTGTTGACCAAAATTTTAGTTTTAGTTGAATATTTGAGCAATTATGAATGAGTATGTACATATGTATGTATGTATGTCGTGAAAGGTATGATTATTATGTCAGATTTTTTTTATATGTTTGTTTCTTTAATTAATATTTATGTATAATGCAAAATATTGAATAAAAGCACCATTTGTTAATGAAAATAGGAAAACAATGCATTTTTTTCAGACCTAATTCCGCTTAATGCACCAAAATAAAAAAATAAATAAAAATATCTAGTATATATGTATATGTAAATATCTAACTATGCCTTTATGGAATTATGTAAGTTTAAATGACATCAGCAAAATATACTCTTATCACTTATGTATGTAAGTATATGTATGTATTTAGTTCAAAAATAAGGTCAACAATGATTAAGCCGCAGCCACAAACTCCGTGAATTAGTATTTTGCACCAAAATAAACTATAAAATATTGCCATATTTCAATTAAAAAAAATAATCGCAATATGTTTAAGCTTAAAACCAAATAATTAAAACACTAAATAAAATAAAAAAAAATTATGTAATGGCAATAGCAGTCGTTGCGTTGCGATGCGCTGCAATGTGCATCAAACCCATAAAACCTTAAAAAAAAATATGATTGCAAAATTAATTCGTTATTTTCGGCGAACGTTTTTCTACCTTAAAAAGAAAATGGTGTCAAATGTAGCTCTAATAAAAAAAATGTTTACTAAAAATGAATTGCAGTGCTCCGCTTGAGTGTGGTTGCCATGGTTAAATGATTTCGCCTTTTGTTATTGCGCGCTTTACTGTATTCATATTTCCGCACTTTTTGGTTAACCATTTCATTTTAAAAATATGCCAAGCATCCTTTTCCATTATTTTTCACTGATATGCAGCTATTACAAAAAAAAAATTTGATTTTTTTATAGATATTTCATTTGGCATTGATTTAATTGCAGTATCCCAGAAAAAGCCAAATATTATGAACATGCAAGCCTTATTGGTTGGTAAAAGTTATTATTTATATTTTAAAGGCGAAAAATAATAAATTGTTATAAATCTATAAATTCATGCGGGAGGAAGTTTTAAATTTTATCAAATGAAATGTTGCTGTCACTTTGGTGCGCCGCGTGAAAATACATTGAATTGGTAGGCGTAATAATTTGCTGTAATTTTTTAAGGGGCAACCGAATTGTTCATAAATCATCGATTTAATGGATAGAAATGAATGAGTGAGCATTTAACTAATTTAAAATGCGAGAACAGTAACCAATTGAACGAAGGTTCTATTATGTGTATTGATTAACTCAGGGTGTGGTAAGCTTACTTACACAGCCGGTTGAACATGCACTTTCTTAAGCGATAATTTCTTAGTTAAAAAAGGACCATTTTGTGCCGTTATTTCTTCGGTGGTGCTGCTTAAATGAATTGTACGTTGCTCGTCGCTGAGCTAAATAATGGTCCATATAAAGCAATGGCGATCAAAAAGACCTTTTACTCTAAAGAGCGAAATACACCACACAAGCGGCTTGTCAAACATACTTTTCCCATTTTGACATAGACCATGCAAACATGAGTCGTTCAAGCACAGAATTTTAGTTTTCTTTCGGTTAACAATGTAAAACATTTTAGTTTTCTACCATTATTCTCCCTTACGTCTTCACTTGGTGAAATTTCAGTTGCAATTGAGGCGATTTTACCATCCACATCGCAAGCGGTTTGATCAAACGTCAACATGGCGGCCAGAAAATCAAAAAAATTTGATTTTTGCTCAAATTTCCCTCAAGCGGTTTGTCAAACCTTCAAACACCCCATAGACAGCACAAATGGCTTGAAGCAAAGGGAAATTTCGCTTGGTTTGTCAAGCCGCTTGTGTTGTGTATTTCGCTCTTAAGGTTTATAGAAAACTTTTAAAAAGCTTCTCACTCGGGTTTTGATCGTAGCTGTTCTAGTTCAGCAATCCAGAGACAGCTTTTGTTCTCTAAAAGTTCATATAACTAAAGTCAACTAAAAGCTTATCCGTGTTTTCAACCTGGCTCATGAGCTTTAAGCTATGAAATTCAAAAACACATTGCTAGTTAAAAAATAATACATTACATGGATCACTTTTCTTGTCTTAAAAAAAAATCTGGTGAAAGTTAGTTACCATGTTGAACTTCTGAACGGCCATAAAACTTTTAAAAATACCTTCAAAAACTAACTAAAACAGATTTTTTCTTTCCAGAGCTTTTCATAGATTGTATTTATACATTGTTTCAACGGAGAATATGTACATTTTGTTTGAAACTTTTTTTCCGGAACTAATATTTCCAACCTCTAAATGGTCGAGGAACTTTAACTCGCCCTGGACGAAAACGTTTTCATTGGAAAACGAAAAAATACGAATCACCAAGTCGGAGATGCTCAATAATCTGGTGGTATTACTGATACCCGGTTTCAACCAGAAGTGAGTTAAACAGACCGGAAGTCCATTTTTTACCGGAATACTATTCTAGCAAAAAGTTTCCAGCCAAAGTTATGTATTTTTATCTGCAGAATACTGTGCTCAAAATATTTATATCCCATTGGCAGCTAGCCCGTGTAATCTACTAGCTTTTAGCTGTAAATACGTTGTCGAATTTCACAGCTGAAAGCTCTTTTAAGCTTTCAATTCATTTTATATGAAAGCGCAGAGAACAAAGGCTTTCTCTGGTTATCTGGTATTAGCCTGGCTTTTACATTTTATCTCAGCCTGAAAGATCAATTAAATGAAAGCTCCAAATTCGGCGCTTTAACCAAACGAATGAAAAAGAGGCCTTTAAAATGTTGTTTGTTATAAGCCAATACTTAACAAACGCTTCGCTTTGAACTTGGAACTTTTTAAACTAGAGTAACCCACTTCGTAGGTTTGCTTTAGGTCAGAGCTTTTTACGATTGCTATTTATGTACATACAATGTACATATGTTTTTGTAAATATTTCGTATAAACTTACAATGTATTGTCTGGCCAACACTGGCTTATGCCCTCAGAAGCGTTAATAGTCCCATTTGATGACAAAAGTGAAAGCTCTCTGGAAAGCTTTTTTGGTAAAAATGCTTAAAATGGACGTTGTTTCTGGAAATAATATTTGCTAGGAGTTTCATTAAGGCGAAGAAATTTGTTCACGCTTGTATAGCCTTTAAGTATTACAAAATGCTTCGAAGTTAAAAATATGAGCTTTCATTTCATAGTTAGAACAGCGACTATTTAGTTGCGTAGTACACGCTAAGTTTTTATCTTCTTAGCCTCTTAAAAGCCCAATGGGAATTGAATTTTGCGCTCATTGAAGTGGTCATTACAAAAACGAAAAGCTTAATTCTATTTACTACCCAGCAAACAAAAAAGGTGGATCAGCTTTGCAGCTCAGTGACGCAAAGAAGGAATTTAGAAATTTTGAGGAAAGTAAGCTGCATTAGTTTTAGCGGTAACCTCAAAAACCAATCCTTACTTCCCAACTCCAAATCGTTGTGCGTTTGCCAACACCAAAATCACCAATTATGTTATTTATGGGTTACCAAAATGATATTCTTTAGGAAATTTTGTCCCTTTTTGACGCAAGCAAAATTGTAAGTGATACTTTTTTTTCATTATAACTAAATTAATTAATATTAAAATTAAGGTAGGGTAAACAAATAAGCATCACTAGAAAAGTTCATCTAAATAATAAAGGCATAATAAAAGCAAAAGGGCTAGAAAAGTAAAAAAAAAAACAGTTGTAGTCGGGGTGAGGGTGGAATGTGGGCAGCAATCAACGTAAAATGTGACAATATACAAAAATAAAGTACCTGATTTCCTCCTTGGCCATGACAAGGATACGGATCAACGGCCGATTGCATTTCATTTCCACTCGCGACCGAATCGAGACACATATCAGTGTAAATATTTGCTATCTGAAATTGGCGAATGAAGTTCGATTGCAAAGAATAAGTATAATAGCCTGTTTTTTTTTTTTTGTTAAAATTTCGGTTCTTATAATTTGCAGGCAAACCCATAACCAGTTCGAGGATTGTAGGGGACATATATTTATGTATGTATGTTTTTTTTCAAGAATTTTTTCTAAGCCAGTAAATGGTTTTTAGTAGTTTTTGTCAAACATAAAATATGTAAGGGGTTAAATTGGAGAAGGGGTAGAAAAGTGGTAGTTGAATATAAAAACCATATTACAAGTAGATAAATTAAAAAAATTAACTTAAAATTAGCTCTCTAAGTTTGTTTTTGTTTTGCTTTTAGCTATTCTCTAGATATACGTTTGTGGTACGGAGCTTGTGGCGGTCGCATATACATTGTCCTTCATTGTTGCTTAGATATTAGAGTACATTTTGATTGCCGTCTTTCGTTGTTGTTTTTATTGATAAACACTTTTACACAAACCTGATTGCCACCTTGTCTGTGGCAAGGATATAGTCCCACAGCCTTCTTCAAATTCTTCTTGTCCGCTGGAGAGTCCAAACATGTGCGACCGCCAGCACCTAGATTTCTTATCTGCATTTTGTTGTTGTTGTTTTTTTGTTTGGGGAAAAATTTTAACAAATTACTTGGTTAATCACATAAGTACATACAATCCTTGGGAAAAATATGGAGTTATATTATTAATATTGGTATTTATGATTTTCAGTCCCTTCTCTTGTAAAATTTTTTTCTCAAGATTAATTTAATATTAAAATATATAATTAGTATTCATGCATGTTGTATGCTTGTGTTTGTTTGTTATTAAAGTACGTGCAACTTACCTCGCCATGCGCCACTGAATCGCCAGGTATGAATAATTCCGGATAGATATTGTCCAGATACCATTTGAAGTTCTTGCAACCGAGATTTTCTCTGTTTTATTGTTTGATAAAAACTCTTAATTAGCATTTTATAAAAGCAATGCAATAAATGAAGGATAATTATTATATAAAATCGGTGAAAGGCAAAACCAAAAAAAAAATTAAATCAAAAAACCTTCAAAAAAAGGAAGCAAATATATCGCGCCCTAACCACCAAAAAGACGTAAGCGTCATAGTTTGAATATGAACAAGTATATGGATCACAAGAAAGTACGTTTCCACCACAGCCGGACCTACGTACCGGAATGACCAGAGTTTTGCCTGTTGTTCTGGCGATCTACCCCAATCTGATTCGGGTTGGCATTGAGTCCCATTCCCTACCAGAAACCTATTTCTATTCTGTATGCCAGAGACGGCTCCATGACAAATGGCGTCCTTTGTCTCCAAGCAAGGTGCCGAAGGGGGCCATGGGCTCCATTTGTCTCATCTGAGCTACAGATCATATCCTCAGCATCGATAATCTTGCCCACCCTTCATCAAACAGCTTTTGGTACCTTACAGCCTCCATTCACCAGTTCAGAATATATCGGAATGTGACATCAGGTGAGCACAAATCTTTTATAGGCTGGTGCCACTTTTGACCAGGCAAAACACACCCAGGATAGAGATAGGTAACCCTACTTGATCACTCAACTTGCGCATAGCGGAGATAATCATCTTCATGGGTCAGTTGGGTATATTGATAGCTGAGATCTAAGAAACGGAGTTACACTGCAAATAAATATTGATGAATTGTGCCGGCAACACTAAGCTCCGTAACAGTCAGAAAACCCAGCGTTCATATAACTCAACACTGTGATGCATCATTTCATTGAAGAGGAACGATTTTTGCCTTCAACACTGTCAAATTATTGTATTTGCCTCGTCTGGTTGAACAATATATGGTGCAGCTCTGATAAATAGTATAATGGGTTGACAGGGGCACTTTTGTTGTCCGTCGAATTATGGTAAAGTAGATGGTGCTTGTTTGTATGCGCCTTGGTGGTGACCGCTAAAGCGTCCAATTTTAAGAATTGTCGGGTCGGCGCCAATTGACCGGGAACCAACCACACTGGCACTGAGGACCGCTTGTTTTGCGGACAGGCACGTAGATTGCGGCAAAACGCGTAGCTGCGTGCCGAGGAAGAACTAAGCGAGCATTGAAGAGGGGAAGATCCCTATTGTGTGCGAGTATAATTTTCCTAGTTACTTAAAAAATTATCTGGTATCAGACGCGGCACAGTGTTTTTGAGACAGATTTGCGTACGTGCCTGGAGAGTGGAACCTGAAGCTGGACAGGCAAATCTAAGAGTAACCTCAGTCGAAGCGGCAAATCGCGGAGTCAGTAGTAGATATGGGCGGCATAACACCGCAGGAGCACTCTAAGTAAGTATTCTCTGGTTTGTTTCCTGTATTTTTCCATTGGTGTTGTCGGTAGTTTTTCCTATCCTTTTAGCGTCCCGAAACCAGATCCCAGTCACTTGGCGAGTTAAAGTTACCCCCAGCAGTTTGGGAGGCATTACGAGTAAGTTCGTAACCTTTTGGCTGGACCTCACCTCATGTACACCAACAAATAAGGATTTTTTTGTAAAGAAAAGTGTGTAGGTGATAGTGGTACGTAGCATGTGAATACGGTCACCTACGTTATGTTGATCTCGGCGGTCTCTGTATTAGGAATTTCAACATGCGGACTCGACGACTGTTAAACCGGAATAAGCGGGGAACAAGAGCGACGAGCACTTGAAGACCTGCAACTTCACATATGATGTGAATAAGCTCTGGTCATCCGTGTGGTAGCTATCCAACTCGACGAGGTGCGATGAAAGTTTGGAAATCATTTCTGCGATGAGATCTCGTAGGATCCGAAATGATATGATAGCTATTTTAATCAATGGTTCACACTGAATGGATAAAGCCATATGTGCTATCAAAAGACTCCGCAGCTTCCCGAAACCTTGTGCGTATCTTGCTTCCAGCAGGGGCGAAGTTCAATTGGATATCGGTAAGCTGAAACGTTTCTTAAGTCGTTGGCCTCGACACATTATGCACGTTCGTGCTAAAATACTTTTCGTTGACTCTAATTATTCCTAACTTTTTGGAGTCTGGGTGAGTGGCCGGGAAATGCTGTCACCAAAGAGGGGTTTTCTCGACCTATAGTACCGTCACCACTGCCAGCGGACAGTGAGACATATTATACACCACAGTGACTAATCTGAATGGTAGACCGTCGGCAATACTCATTCAAAACCAAACCTGGAGCCAAAAATATTTAAACAGGGGGTCACACCGGGTGGTGTGCTCTTTCCAATACTATTTACCTTCTGACCCCTCTACTGGACACGATTACTAATGTAACAAAATTGAGCAGATAAACTGGAGGCCAAAATGAATGACCCGGCATGATTAACAAATTGATACACCATCAATAGTATACAAAAAATATTTGAAACCATATAATACTGTTGCTTTTGCTCGATTTTCCTACGTACATATATGTACATATGTATACTCTCTGCATATAAATACTTTTCAATGTATTCCATACTTACCTAAGCGCTCTGCGTGAGCTCACATCTCCAAAATCGCCCTTGTTGTATCCAATGCGTTGATAGTAGTATTTCGCATAGTCATCTAGCCAAACTTCAGCCAAGCGTACGGAATTCTTCTTCAGCACATTAACACCGGAACGCCACTGCGGAAATTTCAAGCAAACAACAGGAAGATGTTAATTGAAAAACAATTGAAAAATTTCAAAAATAAATAGCCAAGCAGTTGAAAGGAAATGTGTAAGTGAGTAAATTTGTGAAGAAGGAAAGAAACTCTACACTAATTAAAAGCAGTAAGAACAAGTTGTTGCAAGGATGAAAGCGGAAACGAGGAGATAGTAAAGAATACAACATGAACAGGGTGGTGCAAAAGTTTGGGCTAATTGAAATTTCCTAAAATTACATATTTAGAATCGATAAATATTTGTATATTTGTATGCTATTATCGACTTTTTTGTAATCGATATTTTTATATGAGCCCTGTTATAGTTATCGATAACGATTTCTAGTTTATCGGTTTGTATGCGGACGAATATAGAATCACAATAAATAAATATTTGTATTTTGGTATGTTATCCACTTTTTTGTAATCGATATTTTTTTAACGAATCCCTATTATAGTTTTCGATATCGATTGCTATTTCCATCGGTTGCATAAAGACCAATTTGAATTAAAAAAACGCCAGTTTAATTTGAGACACCCTTTATATGTATGAACATATTGTACAAAATACATTAGGGACCACTGCATGCCGGGAATGTTTCATTAGTGCCCAGCAATTCTCATCATACCAAACGAGTGAAGGATATACACATAAAATGCCAAATGACTATCTCTGTTGTTATGCCATTGAAACACTAATTACCTGCTGCCGGATGGCTAATATGTAGCTCGAGTAGTCGGCCGCTCCTATGGTCTCTACGAAGAAGCATGCTTGTTTTCAAATAATTTCGAAACCACATTCCTACCCTCTAGGCATTAAACAAACACATTTAACATCATTGCAGTAACTTCATTTCAACACTCTACACACTGAACTTCCAGCACAAACAAAAATCGGCGCTAAGAAAATCGTTGTTTTTTTTTTTTTTGGTGTTGTGAAGCAGCAAGGCGATGGCTGGGCGGCGGGAGACAGTACTGTGCCACAAACCACAGCAACGATAATTGCCAAAGCATGAGCGTAGAAGAGAATGCTTGCAAACGCTAAGCAACAATGCAAGCGAAAATCATGAAAAATTGTTCTACCAAAACTGTGGTGCAGACATTGTGGCAACATTTGAAAGAAGTCTACGTCGACTGGCAGCAGGAATAGTTGTGGTTAGAAAGGAAATGTGAGCACTTTATGGGGGTGCTCGCACTGTTTGGTTGAACTTGAGTACAGAGGCAGGTGGAAACGTGTCTGATTTTGCCTTACGTTGGTTAATTGCTTTTCTACCCCAAAAAAAACGAAGGGATATTGAGTTCCACATACTAAATAAGGGAGTTGTGGCATAGAATGCTTTGGGTTCAGTTTGAATACGAGTTCTTTTTCTCTCTCTTTCTCTCACTGGCAACCGTTTACTCTACTCTACTCATATCCACATTTTGCCTAATCACAATTGATGGAACAACAGTGGCTACCAACATCAATCCTGCTTATTTTTATCCAACTCCTTTACTCATATTCGTATTTAAGTGCAAGTATGTAAGTACATGCATGCCTTACAACTCAATTTCCACATTTTGCCTCCTACATACATATGTATTCACATATGCGCATTTCCAGGCGTTTATTGTTGTTCAGGTGTTACACATTACTGGGTGGTTTTCCTGCACTGCCCAGACAAATGGCGCGTCAACACTTGGCCCATAGAAAGGTAAATTTACGTGCATTACATTGTGTTTGTCTGAGTTCGTAATAGACAAACGTTTGCTTTGCTGGCCGGTTTGTTTATTTATTGCACTATGTCTTTTGGGGTCGTTCCAACAATGGCCAGGTTAAGAGGCACTTGCAATTTATATGCGCTCACATAAACATATGTATATCGTGAATGCTCTTATTACACAATAGTTGAGCGGGTAAGTGCTGCAACGAAATAACTACATATACGAACACCTACATACGTAGACATATCGTGCAATCAAAGCTCTAAGTATCCATCGAGCACTGGCCGGCGAGGATATCAAATTGTACTATAATTGGACTATAAGCAACACTTTTTCGTTAATAATTTCACTTCTTTTCAATGATTTGGCATATCTGACTTAAATTAATTTAATTGATTTTAAAATAGAAAGACCTGAACTCTTGCGAAAGAGAATCTAACTGGAACAATTTTTCGAGAGGCACTGCAGAGAAAAATATGCCGCGAACAGGGCCACGCTAAGAGAGATAAGTATGTGGAATTATATAATACACGCATGGAGCTGAAGATGGATAGAGCCTGAAAAACGCCAATACGAGCAGCTGGAGATGCTAGTCGACAGGAAAAACGTCCGAAATTTGTATCAGAAAGTTATTCACTCCCTGTTTGGGACATTTTATTTTGTTTTGAAGCTGAACAGCTGATGATATTGTTGTCTATATACGATTTTGAGGGAAAATAGTACATGCGATTCGCTGCAAACGCATAAAAATGAGAACGCGGCAACCCGAATTATCAAGTCGTTCGTACAGAAAATCTAAATCAATTTGATTCGAACAAAGAGTGTTCGCACATTTTTGTCGCACTCTCAGTGAGACACAGTGGGAAAGGAACGCATAAAACAAAAAAAAAAAAATACTTCTTAAAATACTTCTGTCTCGTAGCTTTCTTGGATATTGAAGGCGCGTTTAAAACGTACTCCCAGGCGCCGCGACATTGCAATCGCCTTCAGACGAAAGTTTCCACACACGCTATGTGAGCTGATACAGTGAACGCTTTAGGATGTATCCAGGTGGTCCACCCGCTGTGGCTAAAGCGTCAGCTCAACCGAGGAGAAGCTCGTCCTCTTTACGAGAAGGTATAAAATGCCCTCGTTTACTCTACCAAAGCTTAACGGCGTCCGGCAAGTCTTGTTACAAAAGCCAAATTTCTAGCCGTTATTTTAGATAAGAAGCTGGAAATGGAAAGAGAATATTGTTCAACTTTATAAGAAGGCAAAATATGGGGCCTCAGTACCCGGATTTGTCGATAGATATTTATAGCAGTCGTTAGACCAATCCTCCTATATTGAGTGGTGGTATGGTGGCCTGCATTAGATAAAGAGGTCAACTTCAGGCTACTCACCAAGGTCCAGAATCACGCCAAACAATGCTCTGAACGCTATTTTAGATTTTCTTCGACAGGATTTGGCAGGACAGGAGATGGCAGCGCTCATTGCTTTTCGCTTACGAGAGGCATGCTAATGGCGACCTCAAGCCTAGGGACGCTCTTGTATATTAAATAAATTTTGCTTCATTTTGAACAGCACCGACCGTGCGCTTGGATATCGGTTCCAGAAAGCATTTTTCATTTTTTTCTCAATGGACCGCCGCCTATCTCTACGAGATGGCCAAGCAGAATATACTTCACCTCACTTCGGTCCCTGGTTATAGGGACATGAGGGGACACTGCATGGGGGACAGTGGATATTTCCTATAGACGTCAGTTGAAACAAGAGAAACCAGAGGCCAAAATTGCATAGGGGGCTACTGCGCAAAACTATTACTATTCTGGATGATGATTTGAATGAGGTATCGATGGTGGTGTTTCTTAGAGAACCTTGGCTTAGGCTAGCTTAATTAAAGCTCTAATCTAATCCTTTACGAAACTCTTCAGCGACCTTTTCTTTTCCTCATACTCATGCCTATTGCAGTATCCGACGGATGCCATCCGCACGGATCTTGTCAGGATCGCACGGTCATAACAAGCGAGTGTGAAGGATTAGATTCATGCGAATGACATTCGTAGAATACATGCCAATTCTGGTCCGAAGGATGGTACTCGCACAAATCTAGTCCTTCACACTCACTTGTTATGAAAGTGCGAACCGGATTAGATCCGTGCGGATGGCATCCGTCGGATACCGTAATAGGCCTGACTGTCTCACCGTACTTGCGCTGGTTTCTTTACTTACCTTATATGGCGATCGTTTGCGGAAGATATGACCAACTTGTGAACAGGGTATAATCTCTAATGTACCACCGCACATCCAGGTCTTGAAAGATAATTCCAAATTCTCACCACCCCAAATATCGAAGCCAGAGTCATAGGTGCCAAGACGTTCGAAGAATTTCCGATCAATGGAGAATAGGCCACCAGCCATGGTAGGAGAGGGAACAGGCGCAGCATTGTGCTGGAAGAGAAAAAGAAATTCAGAATTAAAATTGCAGTTTAATTTTATGTACAACAAGGACAATATTATTGCAAGTAAAATTAAGCAAAAAAAAAAAAGGTTTTGGAAAAAAGTTTGCCAGTTATGCCGAATTTCCACTAGGGATTGAAATGACGAAAAAGTTGTGCCATGTGGAAATGTATTTAAAGGCAATTTGTGTTAACGCAATGACACAGGAATTTTTTAATGCCCAACTTTTGCAACATAATTTGTGTCTTCTAATACCTACTGGAAATCCGGCATTAGGTTGTAATTGCGGCTGAAAATTCCATTATCTACGTGCCTGTTTTAGGCTCACTTCCCCAGATTTATTTGTAGGTATGCTTATCTTATTATTTGATCCAAGTATTGTACACAGGTCGTTGGTAATACATATATGTATGTAGGTACATTTGGGTGGTTCAAAAATACATTTAAAAATGAACTTTTTGGAATTTTCTGCTGCCTTCCAAACAAACAGGACAATTTGGGCTAAAATAGTTGAAAGTCCTTTGTAAGACAATTGAAAGACAGTAGGCAAGATAGTTCGAGTTTTTTTGTATTCTGGCACGAAAGTCTTACAAAAAAAGCTCCCCTGCTAACTTTAATGGTGAGAAGCTGTTTTGGCAGAACGCATTTGTATATCAATAAGTAAAGCACTGGCGTGCCATTCGGGCAGCGAACTTATTCCTTATTTAATATAGTTATTAAATTTTTTTTGTAAAATTTGTATCGTTTTTATTGTTTAAAAGGAAAAATATATGAATATTTTAATTATTTTTAACTTTTAGAAACTTATTTTTACGTATTTTTCGATTTTAAATTAAATGTTTAGATTTTATTGTTTTAAAAAGAATGATATTTTTTAATTATATTTAATGTTAAGAAACTTTAGTTTTCTTCTTGTTTTTTAATAAATTTTTTTTAAATTTAGTTTCTCAATTTTTTTGTCCTAACAAGATTTTTTTTATTCAATTAAATTTTAAGGATTTTTTGGTTAACTTTTAGATTATATTTTTTCAAATAATTGTTTTGCTTAATTAAGTTTTCTGATATATTTTAGATTGTATTATTTTACCGAGAAACATTTACAAGTATTTTTTAATTTCATTTAAATTTTAGGAACTTATTGATTTTTTCTTTTTTTTTTTTAATTTTATTTATTTTTTTTATTAATTAAAATTTCTTTTAGTTTTTTATTTTAATTCTTTTCAAAAAAAATAATAATTTGTTGATTAGATACATTTACTTTTTAGTAAAGTAAAGTAAAAAGACAAACAGAAAAACGCTAAGATCTTTCAGATCTTACAACTGGTCTTTCGATAGGCCGAAAAGAGCTTTCAGATAGCTGCCAGAATTGAAAATTGTCTTACGAAAGACTTTGCCTTTAGACAGACTGACGTGAGTTGCAAGACAGTTGCCGGAGTTGCCCTATAAGGAAACCCATATTTATTTTTTTTTTAGTCTGAAAATCGGTTAATATATAATAAGAAAGGTTTCTATATATTTCACATATGAAAAAAATTTTATTTCGGACTTAAAAAAAAATTGTGGTCGCTACCAAGGTTTAGAAATTTAATTTAAAAAATTTAGATGTTGATATTTTAAGAGCTACCCTAATGCTCATACTACGTACATACACTAGTGCATAACATGAATGCTAATTTGCCCTATGCACCCGACATGCCATCAAACTAACTAGTATAAAGTATATACATACTACATACCTACTAAAATAATTAAGTCTTTATAGTTTACAGACTTCTGTACTTATATGTATGCATTTATTTGCTGGGGGGTAGCTGTGGTTACAAACACTTTTAGTTGATGTTAACTTTGTTCAATTTTTATTTGCACTGTGTGCCGTACACTTTACTAAAACAGCATTAGTTACGCTTACTTATATGTAAATAACTACATAGTGGGAAATCTCTTTTAACTATTACTTATGTACTCGTATGTATGTATGTATGATGTACAAAAAAGGGTTCACTACTTTCTACGCAAGCACCAAAACAAATGTAAGCACACAAATAAAGTGAATCACATAAAAACACATTTTTTTTTTTAATTTTTGTAATTGAAACAAAACAGCATTAACTTAATTGCACTGCCATGACCAGGCAAGTGATTCCAAATGGCAAAAGGGTTTGAATGCGTACATACATTTGCACTGTACATACGTGTTTGAAGAGTAAAATAGAGTGAGCGAGCAGTTATTGCAAAAACTATTATCTGAAATGTTGTTTGTATTTGGCAGTTTTCATAATGTGCTTGCTACAAAATGGGTTCTTCGAAATGCAAGATGGTTTGGAAAGCTTGATCCTTATTTATGTGTGTATGTATTTGTGTTAGTATTTGTAATTTCATAATCAAATATTTAACGGATGGTAGTTGACATGGTTAAGAATACCCATCAGCATTAAGAAAAAAATTGGTCAAGGGTTTACAGAATGCGGGGGTAGGAGAGGAGTGGGGGAAGTTTATTTTCACCCAGCACTATTTTGCCGTTCTATACTTCAAAATACTATTTCTAAACCATATTCATTAAAGTTTAGTACAATACAAGATAACCCAGTAAATTGGTAAATTTTCTCTCTCTAAGACTACGGAAGAAATGGTGTAAGTTTTGAGCCATGAAGGAACACTTAAAAGTATGTACAACTAAAATTGTATATCTGCGTAAAAAAAATATACGTTTTAACAATTTTTTCGGCCGTAAGGATTTTGTAACCCCTTAAGCACAAAAGTGAAGCCTATCTGTAGGCGCGAATACATTGAGTTATTTAGTAAGAGCAGTGCCCGAGATAGGAAATAATGGAGCTATTTAGGCCTTTCCATTGGTTTTCTCTCCGTAGCATATACATTTATTAAGCTCGTGATTTTCGAACAAGCAATGTAGTACGGGGGCTCCACACGAAACGAGTATTTAGAAATTATTTTTTACTTCATCTCAAGTATGCGGCGGAAGACTGACTCATAAAAAGCAGTTCCATGATCTAGTTTTATTTGCCTTCTATTTACTAAACCCTTTTAAAAAAAATATTTCAAACGGCATTTGATAAGTGCAAAGCTTTGCAATATAAGCGAATGCAATACATAACAAATTTTAATTTTTTCATTTCATTTATTGAAGAAGAAAATTAGTACAGCAATATTTTGAATCTTTTATAGTACAACAAATAGAGTGGAACTCAGGTTGTTAATACATTTACAAAAACGTTACTATGATGATATTAAAAATGTCAGGCTTACATATGTATGTACTTAAGGCTACGTCAAATAGTTGTAATTTAAAATAAAATAAAATAAAATAAGATGGCCAGTCTAGATAATGTGAGAAAAATAATTATAAATAACAGTTCTATAGTGGCTCGAATTGTTTAACAATATTCGTATGTAAAGTTGCATACTTGAGGGCAAGCAAATAAATTAACTCGCAGTGAAATCGAAATAATCGATAACGAGAATATACAAAATTTTTTCCTTGATTCAAAATTTTGGATAAGTTTCTATAAGGAAAGCGAGAACTTTAGAGGAAAATGGTATGTGTGGCAACCAAGTTTTACTTATGATCGGCCATAGCTTTAATGCTAGATATTTAGTAAAGTTTTTTCTAAGTTGAAGAGCTGAAAGTTCGGAACCGTTTTTAGGGGTTCTTCAAAGAGCACACATTAATGGATTTCCACTAGGCATTAAATGGCAAAAATGACAAATGACAAAGTCGGGCATTAAAAAATAATCCTGTCGTTACATTAAAAAAATAGTCAATAAGTTCATTTCCACTTGGCATTTTTTTAAATGGCATGAATTTACTGTCATTTCAATGCCTTGTGGAAATTCGGCATAAGGCGATTATAAATAACTGGGTAGACAAAATGTTCAACAGCTACTGGATGGAATACCCAGGGCAGAAGCAAACCAAATGGGTATTTTGTCCTTTAAAAGAAGCTTCAAAGTAACTACATTGTGGTACTCACCGAGGTGGTGCTTCACTTAATACATTTGAAATTTGGAACAAAAAGTCCTTAGAAGTGCTAGGCTACAATAAAAGCCTTCCCGCTAGGACTTTTCCGATGATCTGTGAAGAATATGTCTAGCATTTCCTGTGGGAATGCACAAGCCTACTGAATTTAAGATTACTTAAATCACTAGAACGCCATGCAACGTGCAAATCCATTAAAAGCTCCTACTATAGAAATTGTTAAATTCAGTAGGAAATTAAGATGGTTTTGACTAAGCAATCTTTGATTACCATAGATAAAACTTATTTTTGACGAGAAGTGTTTCAGCCATCACTATTAAGGAAGAGGGCTAAAAATAGTTTTTTTTTTTTTGTAAAAATATGTATTCATAGCTCACAGAAAATTTCTAAATAAGAAGTCCAGTCTGGCGCAATATGCAGTAAGGGTTTTATCCAGAGAATTTTCAACCGATAGCCTATAAGACCCGGTTGATGAAATTGGATAAAAGTCGCGTTTTCATTGATATACGGCGGAGGGCAAACAAATGGGGACGCTAAATTTTAATAAGTTTTGGTAAAGTAGAGCTGACAACATATTTAACAAAAACAATCTTAGGTTAAATTTAAAGCTTTGTACAGGATTTATAAAAATTCTACGAATTTCAGCCAATGCTCATCCAAATTTCAAACTATTTTCAGAATTAAAAAAATCATTCATAAATTTTTGGCAATTTTTCGTACTTTCTAACCAAAGCCATGTAAGTCCGAATTTCAAACTTTGTACACAATTTAGGAAAATTCGAAAGTTCCATAAAAAATTTAAACATTTTAATCAGGATTTTTAGAAAACAAAATTTGGTATGCAGTTATGCTGCCCATAAAATGCAATTTTGAAGTAGTTTGGACTTATCCTTGATTTTTGGCAATTTTTTTGCTGGCTTTTCGAAAATACTTTGCATTGAAGAAAATACGTGACAAATCGCCGTCTTCTAACACTACCATTTCAAAGGTATTTATA